GAGCATGGGCAGAGAAATGAGGAAATGCACAGAAATAGATGACTGAGAAATTGAAATGCATCAGTGAAGAGACAGAATACACAGATAATAAAATATGGAAGGGGGAGGAAAGTGGATATAACCAGTGAGTTGGTAAGGTAACAGATACTGAAGCAAAGTGTGATGAAAAGCTAAGTAGGACTATTCCTCTGAGTAACCATTGCACAAACATTTCATTTTTAAGTGCATATTTACTTAATGACCCCCATATAAACAAGGTTTTTGTGTGCATAAGTGCGAATGTGGTTAAAAGAACATGAGACCTACCCTCTTCACATACTTCGAAGTGTAGTTACAAGGTCCTCCAGGGATGGAGGTAGTTACTGTAAAACAAGTGGTGTGCCTCTCTCATTACAAGTGCAGAACAACGATAATGAAGCCAAGATAAACAGTTCTTTTTCAGTTAATAAGAAAAAAAAGCCAATTAAAAATTATTGGAGGCTGAATGTGGTGGCCTATAATCCTAGCTACTTGGGAGGTGGAAACTGGGAGGATTGTGGTTCTAGACCAACCACTGCAAAAAATTAGTGAGCCTCCATCTCAAGCAGTAAGCTGGGTATGGTGGTACACATCTGTCATCTCAGCTACACAGGAAGTTTAAATAGAAGAATTTTGGTCCAGGTAGGCTAGCAAAATCTCAAGACCTCTTTCAAAAAATAACTAAAGCAAAAGGGCTGGAAGTGTGGCTCAAGTGGTAGAGCACCTGCCTTGCAAGTGTGAGGCCCTGAGTTCAAATCCCCCCCCAAAAATGGGAAAAAAGAATATATGTGTTGCATTAATATTTCTATATTTTATTTATTTAAAAACAACTGGGGCCAGGCAGCATGATTTACATCCATAGTCCTAGCTACTTGGGAGGTAGAGTTCAGGAGGATGGAGGTTCAAAACAGCTACAGGCAAATAGTTTGCAAGACCTTTATATCAAAAAAACAAAACAAAACAAAACAAAACAAAAAAACCCATCACAAAAATCCCAGAGTGGCAAAAAAAAAAAAATCCACACAAAAATAGGAAAACTACCTTTTGACAGTGACTTTATGGATTATATCTTTGTATTGTGGTGCTGAACACTTAAATAAAGACTAATTTCAGTATTGGTCAAATATTTTAAATTTTTTTTCCTACTAAGTTTCAAGAATTAGCGGGGTGCCGGTGCCTCACACCTGTAATCCTAGCTACTCAGGAGGCAGAGCTCAGGAGGATCACAGTTCAAAGGCAGCCCAGGTAAATAGTTCTTGAGACACTAGCTCAAAAAAAACATTTACAAAAAAAGGGGTGGTAGAGTGGCTTAAGGTGAAGGCCCTGAGTTCAAACCCTAATATCAAGGGGGAAAAAAAAAAAAAAGCATCAAAGTAGTTTTGGAAACTTTTTTACATGAAAAGACTATTGTAATCTGGGTTCATGGACTGTTATTCCTATTATAAACAAAATTACACTAATAAAATTGAAATACAAGGAGGTTTTTCTATCAAAATGAATATAGGGATAAAATATGAATCGTGTTGTATTTTGTATCTTCACAGGGAAGTTTGAATTGGCTGACAGGTCTCATTTTCTTCTGGAGGGGAATTGCCAATCCAGAGCTTGGGGTGTCTGTTTCCTAGGGAATACACACTAGGAATTGCCATTTCTGGAACTGAAGAGAAGCATCTCTTGGAAGAGGAATGCATAGCCAAGGCCTTTAGAGAATTGTGACTTTGCATAATAGGAGCCCCTGATTCTACAGCCTCCAAAGCAGATCTGGATCAAGTAAAACTGAGGTCAACTTCTGTTCAGCTTCTCTGTAGTCAGTGCAAGAAGAGGAGGAGGAGGAGGAGAAGGAAGAAGAGGAGGAAGATGAAGAGGAGGAGGAGGAAGAGGAAAAAGAGAAAGAAGAGGAAGAGAAGAAGAGGACTTAAAAGAGAACATATGAAAAGGATACTTTGTAGCTCAAGTGAGAGAGTACTGGGAGCCTGGGTTCAATCCCCACTGTGTGTCTGTGTTGTATGTGTGAAATCTCAAGAGGATACTTTGGTTCTAGGCATCACAATGATACAGTGAATTTGGATTCACTCCAAATTCACTCAGGTGAGCACTTTTCAAGTTTTAAGTTGTATACCAACTTCATAGGGTGAGGAAGGGGACCCCTGAAAGTCTGCACTGTTCTATGATGCTGATGCTGCTGGTTGACAGGTCACACATCAAGCAGTAAGGGCTCAGAAGGAAGATGGCCCTCAAATGTGCTGAAAGAAACCTGAAATGGGCTGAAGATATAGTTCAGTGATAGGACACTTGCCTAGCATGCACGAGGCCCTGGCTTTGGCCACAAAGAAACAGAAAAGGAAGGAGAGAGATCCAAAAGGTTAACACTTGAACATATGTAACTCTCTTCATTTTGGTCCTCTTCCCTAAGTCCTTTGTGCTGGCTGCCCATGGAATCACCTTTGCTATTCTGTGACATTTCCTTCCCTTCTGGAGCTGTTCATGGTCTTGAGGGTACAAGAAGGGTAAACCGACTCAGGCTACCTCAAGGAGATTGTATGAAGAACTCCTGGCAGTTCACAGAATTGAAGAGTTGACAAACTTTAGGGGTGAATGCAAGGCAGGGCAACTCAGGGAACCTCAATAGCAGAAGCTCTGTGACTCCAGCTTGTCTTATGAGATACCCCAGTTCTGTCTCTACAAGTTTTAAGTTTGGGTCTGGTGTTTACCTTTCAAGCTCCCAGCATAAAGCAATTAAAGTTGTGTTTACCACATCTTTCTTTGTCCTTTATAAGTCATCCCTTGATGTTAATTTTAACTGGCTTTTATACATATACAACTTTATATTGTGTATGTGTGTGCATGCTTGTGTGTCTGTTGAGGAGAGGAGATGATAATGTCAAAGTGTGGTTTTCCCCCAAGTAGATAATTGAAGAAAAATCCTTTTATATCACACTTATTTTAGGTCCTTTAAAATAAGCTCTATTACATGTTTTGAATTGTATGTGCCTTGGACTTAAACTAAAATCTTCTTGGGCTGGTGGGGTGGCTCAAGTGGTAGAGTGCCTGCCTAGCAAGCGTGGGGCCCTGAGTTCAAACCCCAGTATCACCCAAAAAATTAAAAAAATAAATTTTCTGTGAGAAGGAGCTATCTTTATATCTTTACAAAATAAACATGGCTTTTATCTGATTTTAAAAAGCACTAATTGCCACATTTCAAAGGGCCATTTTGGGAAAGACTTTCTCCCTAATCATAGGGGCATGTCTTTGAAAATATCCACAATAGAGGAACTCGAGATTGGGAAAATAAAACAATGATTGAGAAACTGGGTTTCTCCCTTTTACTTACTTAACATTGGTCAATTAATTTTTCTAAAGTGCAAATGTGTCACTGGTAATCAAGATAATCAAGTTTCTTATAAATTTGTTTTGCTTTTGAATTGCTTAAAAAGGTTAACTATTGTCCTTCTCATTCTTACTCTAGAGACAACCTACTTTCAGTCTATTGAAAGTGTATTCCTATCCTAATAAACTTTAGTATCACTTCTGCTATAAAAAGTCAACTTTGTATCATTCACTATTACTATGGAACTTGTGACTTTCTAAGAATAGGAAACTTGAGGTCAAGAAATAAAAATGAAAGCACTTATAGTCAGTAAAATATAATGAAGACAAAACCAGTAAAGATGCAACAATGTCATATTTCTGAAATTAGTAACAATTAGTATACTTCTGTACATTTGTCATCTTTTGCTCACTGAACACTTTAAGATTTTACTTCAGAGTTTCAGCAGAAATTTAAAAGTGTGTCTTGCTTAGTAGCAGCTAATATGCATGCTACAAGATGTTTGAGTCTGATTCTCTCCCCAAATGTTCAAACCTCTTTTTTTTTTTTGGTGATACTGGGGTTTGAACTCAGGACCTCACACTTGCTAAATAGGTGCTCTACCACTCAAGCCATTCCACCAAGCCCTGCATTTTGTGTTGGGTGTTTTCCAGATAGGATGTCAAGAATGATTTGCTAGGGGCTGGCTTTGAACCTCAATCCTCCTGATTTCTGCCTTCCTGAGTAGCTAGGATTAGAGGCGTGAGCCACCGGCGCCTGGTGGTCCAATTTTTTTTTTTTTTCCACTATGTTAAGAGATCATAGATTCTCATCTCCTAGATTCTGCCCCTAAATTCTGGCTCTTTCCCTAGAGGCAGGATGGTTGAAGTGTTTTGTGTAATGCATGCCAACCCTACACAATTCTGGTAAACTCCCTCACTACTCAGAAGTATTGAATCCTAACCCTGCCCACAACTCCCCTTGCCTATAATGTGTGGGTTCTCATCTTCTGTTACGTATGCCAAAGGGGCTTTCTTATTTATTTTTTGTGGTGCTGGGGATCAAACCCAGAGCCTTGCACAAGCTAGGCCAGTGCCCTACTGCACCTCCACACCCCTAGTTTCTTTTTTATAAAACTTAAATTTCTGATGGCAAGAGCTCCTTTATCTGCCTGCTTTTTTAAAGTTTTTCTCATTCTTTTTTTTTTTTTCTTTGTTTAAAAATGATATTCCTTTCTTTTTTTTAGAAAACCTCAACAGGAATGGCTGGCCACTCTTATAAAGGGAACTGATGTTTCGGAGTACGAAAGTGAGATCAGACATAAATCCACATATGTTAGAATGTCATTCAGGGAATACTCACACAGTTGGGAAGGGATTACTACACTTTTTTTTCATCCCCAAAGCCCAGGTATTCAATTTAAAAATCTTATTAGAATTGAGTCCTGCTCTTATTGTAGAAAGGAACAGAATCTGATGGAAAGAAACAGGAAATGAAAAAGTCAAGACTTGGAAAGGAACTAAGTCAGTGAAAAGAACTTTTATGTTCCTTTATGTTGTTTTTATCTAAAGAAACTGACTATAAAAGTAACAAACATGGAGGGAATAAGAAAGACAAACATTCATTTTTGGGGGTGCCCTCCTTGGCAATTCCCATTTTATTGAGGATGTTGCTACTAATATTTTCTGAGGTATTTTTTTTTCTCAGAAGAGAGGTGTCCCTTTGACTCCACAGAGGCAGGACTTGGGGTCTTCCTGGCCACTACAATCTCATCCACAGTCATCAGCTGCATCACCACCTCAGCCACTGCCCGAAATCCTTGAGCTTTCGTCATTAGGGTGTCCCACACCCCTTCCTGGGCTACATTTATTATGCCTTCAGCTCCCACCCCAATTACGAAGTTCCCAGTTTGGTGAATTCCATTCATCTGTGCCATCACACGTGAGACGACTAAACCAGCATTCTCTGCCAAGATTTTAGGACAACATCTCAGGGCCCGGGCAAATGCTAGGAACGCAGGACCATTCGGCCCTTCCATTTTGCTCCCTTTATCTGAGAGCATTCTCGCCAGAGCCATCTCTGTGGCACCAGCCCCTGGAAGCAATCTGGGATCTTGACACAGCTGGAAATAGGCATCAATGCCTTGGTAGACAGCCTGCTGTGCACCCCGCAGGCCTTCGGTGGTGGGTCCCCTGAGGACCAAGGTGAGGACAGGTGCATCTGCATGTTCCCACTCAAATACCACAGCGTTACTGTCTCCTACTTCCTGTTTGTAAACCTTCTTGCACTTCCCTGGCTCCCGGGGAGGGAGCAGATAACTTAGTAAAGGGATGCCCAACACCTCACTCAGGTACACCATCTCCTTCCGGGACTGGGCTTCAATCACCATAATGCCATGCTTGTCAGCCAGGATGAGGGCCTTTATATCAACTTTCCCCCATACCGCCACCACATTAATACCTGCAGTGGTCAGCTGGGCAACCTGCCTTTCCAGTGCTTCATCACTTCCTTTCCTAAAGTTAGCCAGGTCAGTGGGGCTAGAGAAACGGGCAACTGCTGGGGCATTTTAGACTCGTAGGACCAAAGGAACAATGGAACAAAGCCACCCTGGCACCAGTTAACACTTCGGTCATCTGCCCACAGGTTTTCCCAGACATTGCTAACCCAGGGAGGATGCAGGAATCTTCCAGTGTCCCTCCACGCAGCAAGCACACCCCGATACGCTCAGGCTTGAAGCTGCCATCTGGCCCCTTGCTCGCCCAGCACACGTGGGCCACCAGCTTGGTCAAGTGGTTTGTGTGGAACAGGGAGTGGGTATTCACCACAGAATGTAGGGCCCAGGATGGATCTTCCAAAGGCCCCAGAGAGCGGATGGCCAGGGCAGGCAGTGTGGTCAGGACTTCTGCCATAGCCATGCCATAGGCCTCCTGGAGCTGGGTGTGAGGCAGGCCAGCCTGCAGAAGGTGCTCTGCCTGCTCCAGCAAGGCTTCTGTGAGGAGAACCACAAAGGCTGTGCCATCCCCACTGTTCTCTACCTGTGTTTGGGCAGCTTCCCTGACAAACTGGGCTGCGGGGTGCTCCAGCTGCAGGGCTCTGAGTATGGCAGCAGCATGGCCTGTGCACACTGTTTCTCCATTAGCAGCCACCAGGAGCTTCTGCCGACCATGGGGGCCGTAGCAAGACCGGATGATGCTGGCCAGGGTCTGGACGGCAGTCATGCTCTTTAGCAGGGGCTGCTGTCTGCCTCTTGAACTCCTGGGATTCTCTTCTGGGCCTGGCCACAGCCTCTTGGGAAGCTCCTGGACTGAAGGGACTCTCTTCTGCATGGCCTGGGAGCGGGGAGACTCTTGTAGAGAGGCTCTAGGAGTGGCAGCAGGGACACCCTTAACACAGATCTTTGACACTCAAGTGGCCAAAGTGGAAACCAAAAGCCAAATGCCCATCTCTTGATTGCTGAATAAGTTAACCTGTCCAGGGACAATTTGCAGAGCACTCAGTCTTAAAACCACTCCCAAAGTCAATTCCATCAAGAAACTGGCTCTTGAGGCCTCTGCACCTCAGGAGCTGAAAGGGGACCTTTGATGAAATCACAAAGTGACAAACAGAACCAGTGACAGGGAATGAGGTCACAGAAGCATGTCAGACCTTATTGTCTCACTATGGAGGTCCCCACACCTCTGCACCAGGCCTGAGAGTTTCTTTTAAACTCTGGTGACAAGATGGAGAAATCAAAGAAAAATATCTACCCATTTTGAATTCCCAGTGAAGTTGCAGCGCCTGTCTTTTGTTTGTTATGTTTGAGGGTAACTGAGAAAGGATGATGCCTTTGTTTTGGTTTTTAGTGCTATGTAATACTAGCCATGCTGTGCCATTTGCCTGCCTTTGCTTTTGCTTGTGCCTGTTTTATCAGGTTCCTTAAGGTGTCTGTGGGTCTCTTGGTTTTTGAGGCTGTTTGTATAAGAGGATGCATAGTGGTTTTACCTGTGCAACAACTCCCAATGCCAGGGATATCCCTGAGTTGGCAAAGCAAGCCAAGACAAGGGAGGAGAAGATGTTGACAGTGTTCAGACATACAAATAGAAATGACCAGAGAAGTAAAAAGGACTAACTGACCTCCCAGTGCCAGGTTGTGGAAGACCTGAGTGAATGGAGAGGGGACCCTGAGGTTGAAATGCTAATTGCCCTCTCACCCTTACCCTTAGTCCTTAGAATTTAGGTCCCTTCTGAGCTGGAGGTGTATAGGGCTTGCTGAGTGTGTTTGAGGCCCTAGGTTCCATCCCCAGCATGACAAGCAAAAATGGGACACAAAGAATTTAGGTCTTTTCTGTCCACTCTCCCTCCATCCTCTCCTCCCTCCTTCAATACAGCCAATTGGAGTAATGAGGGTTCTGTTTCAGTATAACATTTATTTTTAATTTAATCATTTTTATGTTTACTCATGTGTATACATTGCTTGGGCCACTTCTCCCCCTCCTCCAGTGTAACAGATTTTTGAACTCAGGGCCCTCAAACTTACTAGGCAGGTTCATGCCACTTAAGCCATGCCCCCCAGCCCCAGTTTAACAAATATTTCTTGAGCACCCACTGTGCTCAATGTAATGGGGACTATAAAGGCAGGAGCTTAGCAACTGGCCATGGAAACAGACTTGTACCAAATGCATCCAGCATCTGATAGGTGTTAGGCGGGTTCCAGGTGGAAATGATGAATATGTCTGTTGAGATTAGAGGAAAGTCAGAACAATGTCATTCATTTTTCATTTAGAAAAATTTTGTTCATTTTGCTTAGTGGTAGACGTCCATAAGAAAAATAGAACTCAAATTGGCACCAGTCAGGAGTCCTGACAGTTCTGTCGGCATTGTTTTAATATTTTCACACAGCAGATAATAGCAAGAAAAGAGGAAATCCATCACAGTGAACACCGAATATAATGAAGGCTAAAGAGATTATTTTGAAGAAAAAAAAAAACCTTTTCTTTTCTTTTTAAAAAGAACTTGATTGCTTTGGCAAAACCAATATTCATTATAAAGTTGAAAAGTGCACAGAAAGTAAAGTTTATTTGGAAATTCAGCCCAGGGATAACCATTGTTTACTTTATGAGGACCTTATTAGTTTACACATACTATATGCCATACATACATAATTATAGATTTACAGAGTTTTATATAAGTACGCTGTGTGACGCGTACATATGCTGTTCTCTAATCCTATTCCGCTCAACATTTTCTTGGCTCAGAGAATGTTTCCAAGGAGACATTATTTTGTGAAGACTGTGGACAATTATTTTGACCTTTTGATTTTTCTCCTTTCTTTTTCCAGATGGCCTCATTAGAGCCCAGTTTAGTCTCAAACTCTTATTTATTTATTTTCTTTTTTGGTGGAAGTGGGGTTTGAACTCAGGGTTTCATGCTTGCAAAGCAGGTGCTCTATGGTCTCCTAAGTGCTAGGTTTATTGGCGTGTAGTACCACATCCACACCCAGTGACTATTTCTGATGTTGGAGATGCCACTAGAAACAGGTATGATCCTTCATGTCTGGACTTCTGAAAGCCTGTGACACTGAGTACAGTGCCACATAACAAATGCTGGTCATGGGGCAAAAGAGGACTTGCCTGTATATCATAGGAATGCAAAATGTAACAATCAACACAAAATGTAGTGAGGTATGCATATACAATATATATATATATATATATATATAGTCCATAAAGATAGTTTCTTTTAAATAAACCTTTCTGTGAAGGATAATCTTTTCTCTTTTTCTAACACCTAACATTCATTGTCATGTTTCTTTCACAACCATCTATTGAGTTGCCCCTGACTAATAGGGTAAATAGGAAATAATGGTCCTGTCTCCACTGGACTTAGGGTGGCACAGGCATCTGACCCTTTCATTACCAGCAATGAGAGCTGTGATTAGAAGCACAAGGTGCTGTGGATGCATCCAGGGGAACATGCAACCATACTCTTGGGGAGAGCAGAGTTCAAGGATGGAAGTGAAGTCAAGTGAGACCTGAGAAAAAAAGGAAAAGAGAAGTAGGAAATGGCTAGGTGAAAAGGAGCCCGCAGCAGGGACAGCATGGAGCTGTAAGGAGAAAGGGGGTGGGGAAGAAGAGATCTGTGCTTTGTCTGGAGGATGAAGGAGCTCTCTAGGCCCTAGGGAGCCATGCCAAGGAATTTACACTTCTACCTGAATGGTGCTGTAACTTCCGTTTCTGATGCAAGGGCATACAATTTTATGTTGTAAAGTCCTCTTGTGTGTGAGTGCACAGAAGAAGGCGGACCTGATCATTGTCCTTGACCCCTAACGACAAGCTGGTCTCATAGAACAGGCCCCAAATAGTGTTTTTTTGGACTGATTTTTTTTATTTTTATCTTCTTCTGCATACATCAAGCTAATCACAGAACTACAATCTCAATTTTACTTATTGGCATGTGGACATTGCCATTGTTAAATTCACTTTGCAAAGCCTTATCTTTGTAGACTCAATATGGAATAAGTATAATTTTTCATGCCAAGAAGAGTTGCCATATTGTTAAGTTTTTAATAAATTTTTCTAACCAACTATACATTTGGGGGAAGGCGACAGTGCTGGGTATCAAACCCAGGACCTCATGCATGTTAGGCAAGTGCTCTATCACTGAATACTCCTAACCCTCCTGATACAATATGTATTTTGATCTGCTAAGATAGGTAAACATCATTATAGCTGCTTGGTAGTTATACTGGGTTCAATGGTGTTCTGCCAAAATTCATGTCTTCCTTGAACCTCAGAAAGTGACCTTATTTGGAAAGAGGTTATTTTGCAGATGTAATTAAGATGGGGAAGCCCTTTAATCCCACATAGCTGGTGTCTTTTGAGAAGAGAAAGACAACTGAGTGGAGAATGCCTATGACGACACAGAGATGCACGAGGAAGGAAGGCCATGTAATGGTGGAGGTAGAGAGATTGGAGCAATGTGCCTACTGCCAAGGATCACCAAGGATTATGGGCAACCACTGGAAGTGAAGAGAAAGGCTGGAAATGATTCTTCAGAGCCTACTAGAAGGAACCAATTCCGCTGACACTTAACTTTGGACTCTGGCCTCCAGAACTGCAAGAGAATAAGTTTCATGGTACCCAATTCATGATACTTTGTTGTAGCAGGCTTAGGAATTTAATTCAGAGGTCTTGTATCTCTACAATGGGAGAGGGAGAGGGGACGGAGAAAGGGGAGTTTCCAGTCCATGGTCAGCTGGCTCCATTGCAATGGGCCTGAGGGTGAGGCAGAACATCCTAGAGGCAGGAGGGTGTCGGGGTGCAAAGCTGCTCAACTCTTGGAGGTCAGGAAGCAGGGAGGGGAGGAGGGACAGGGACAGGTACACCTTCAAGGACCTGCCCTCTGTGACCTACTCCTCCCACTGGGCCCCACCATCTATTTTCCACCATCAACAGTTTATAAGTCCACCAATGGATGAATCCATTGATGAAGTCAGCATCCTCATGACTCAATCCAATCACTTCCCCAAAGGCCGCGCTCTGAACACTGCACCAGGGACCAAGATTACAGTTTTGTTTTTTGGGGGCAGGGAAGTGGGGTGGGGGACATATATGCCCTACCATATATGATGAACCACAATGCCTTCATCAACACCCTTCATTATATTTTATTTGCTCTGCCCATGGCAATTTAATGCCAATGAGTCTGCTATCAATTCTTTTAAAACAGCCTGGAATTCCTTCATGCAAAAGAGTGGAGATGTAAAGCCAGTTACTTGTCTTCATCATCCTTTATCTTTCCAGAAGCATGGCTGCACAGACCTTCATTTCTACCCTTCCTTGCACTGGACTGCTTTTCTGCTCTCAGTCTCTTCATTTCCTTTTTACTCCAGTATGAGTTTCTTGCATATACATACTGACACTTACATTCTCCCAACTCAAATTATCCTAATATATAACTCAATGCATATGAAACTCACAGTGGAAATGTCACAGTGGAAATGACTATTCTAATTTCAGTATGGGAGACAGATCAACATTTGGATCAATATAAAGTACATTGTGAGGAAAGAAATGAAAAAAGTTTTTATATTTGCATTGAATAATTAACTTTAAATATATCACATCACAAATTGATCTCTAATCATGTACATGTCATATTTCGATCTGTAATAATCAGACTTCTGATTTTTTTTTTCTTTTTGCGGTACTGGGGCTTGAACTCAGGGCCTTCACCTTGAGCCACTCCACCAGCCCAATGTTTTGTGATGGGTTTTTCAAAATAGGGTCTTGAGAACTATTTGCCTGGGCTGGCTTCAAACTTCAATCCTCCTGATCTCTGCCTCCTGAGTAGCTAGGATGACAGCCGTGAGCCACCGGCTCCAGGCTAGATACTTTATACTTACAGTTCATGTTTAGTACACCTGCCTTTTCCCCAATCTCAAATTTCCTGTGACTATAAATTTAATAAACTTAAAAAATCCTGTAGGGATTAAACCCTGAAGGAATTCAACTGACTCTTAACTTACTCTTTCAGCCATTTCAAATAAGTATAGATCCAGCTATCACAGACTCTAGAAACCAAAGTTCGCCCAAATAGGGAGCAGTTCAACACTAAATCCTGGGTATTAGGAGGAAGGGTAGGCAAACAGTACTGCTGGGAAACAAGCATATTATTTCACCTTGGACTCTTAACTGTGTTGAGAAGATGGAAAGAGCAAGCCTGGTGAGAGTGCCTGCTAGCTCGGGCTTACAGAAAGTGCCCAGACCTTCCACAAATGGTTAATGATTTTAGCATCCCCCCAACTCAAGCCTGTTTTATTCACTCCATATTCTAATCACCAGCGAAGAGAAAGGGAAGCACAGGCCACCACCGTTCCGCGTTTCGCTGCTCGAGGACCTGTCCTGTGCGTGGCTAAGTGCGTGTCCGGCTCCGTAATGCTATCCCCATTTCTCTTCTTACCATTTTATGTTTCGTAAGAGTTGGCCTAGAAATAGTTCGGTTTTTGTCTCTTCATCAGAAGCCCCTGATTGTTAAAATCAAGTTACTGGGTTTTTAATGGCTCGTCTGTAAGCGTTTTAGTCCTCAAAATGCTATCGCTCTTTTTGTCTCTCTGGGTTTTAAAAAACCGACGTAAACCCACGAAGCTGCCCACGGAATTGGATTATAACGAAGTTGTCTCCGTTTCTTCTTCTCCACAGCCGCTCATTAGAGAGCGCCTCCCGCGTGGGAGCCCAGCGAGCCCCTCGGCGGCGCAGGTCCGCGGGGCGCGCGTGGCGGTGCTGGGGACGCCGTGGCCGCAGGCGCACGTGCGCACGCACGCAGGCTCGCTGGACCAGGGACGCTGTGTTTACACCGCGCCTTCCCTCCCGGGCCCCTCGTCCCGGATCCCAATCCCGGATTCTCGGTCCGCAGCTTGGAGGTCTCCCGAGCCAGAGCCCGGCGTCGCGTAAGAGCGGGAGGGGGAGGGGCGATGAGGTCAGCGACCGCGCCGCGACCGCGGGCGGCGGGATAGGCGCATGCGCGGAGCGCGCCCCGTGAGTGGCAGCAGCGCGCGGGGGGGGGTGAGGGGGCCGGAGCGGGGGACGGGTCGGGGGCGCGCGCGCGCGCGAGTGTGTGTGTGTGTGCGCGCGCGCGCGCGCGAGACGGCGGCGAGTTTGAGAGGTCTGTGGTGCGGGTTGCCCCGGGGGAGCCGGGCGCGGGCTTCGCACGACGGCCGCGGCCGTGTGCGTGTGAATGAGTGTGTGATGTGGTGAACACACACCCGCAAAACTTCCTCCTCCCCAGCCCCGGCAGAGCAAGTGTGAGCGAGCGAGTGTGAGCGAGCGAGTGAACGAGTGAGGGGGCCGGCGCTCGCGCAACCCCGGCACCCCCAACAACAACTGGAGCAGCTGTCAAAACTTCGCCGCCGCCGCCGCCGCCGCCCCGGCCTGACGGCGCGGGGGAAGGGCGTCCGCCGGGGCGCGACACCCGCTCGGCCCGGCCCGGCCCGCCGCCCCCACCGCGGCCCTTTCTCCTCCCGCCGCGGGCGGCCTGGGGAGGGGCGCGGGCGGAGACCCCGGGAGGCCGCCCCTCGGCCCGCGCCGCACCCCGCCCCGCCCGGACCCCTCCCTGTTCGCCCCACCCCGCCCCGCCGGACCCCCTCCGCCCCCACCGCGCCCCGCCCCGCCCCGCCCGCCGGCCCCGCCCGCCCCGCACCGCCGGCCCCTGCGCGCCGAGTGCGCGCGCCCGCGCCGATGTGTGTGAGTGCGTGTCCTGCTCTCTCCATGTTGCAGCCTCTCCCGGTACCTGCTGCTGCTCCCGGGGCTGCGGGAAATGCGAGAGGCTGAGCCGGGGAGGAGCAACCCGAGCAGCAGCGGCGGCGGCGGCGGCGGCCGCGGCGGCGGGAGGAGCCCCCCAGGAGGAGGACCGGGATCCATGTGTCTTTCCTGGTGACTAGGATGTCGTCGGAGGAGGACAGGAGCGCGGAGCAGCCGCAGCCGCCGCCACCACCCCCCGAGGAGCCCGGAGCCCCGGCCCCGAGCCCCGCAGCCGCAGACAAAAGACCTCGGGGCCGGCCTCGCAAAGATGGCGCTTCCCCTTTCCAGAGAGCCAGAAAGAAGTAAGTTGAGCGCGAGGAAGCCAGGCCGGCGGCCAGCGGCGGCGCGGGCCGGAGCTGTCAGGCGCCCGCCCCCGGCCCGCCCGGCCCGCGCCCCCGGCCCGGTGGGGGCGGGGCGGCGCGAGGACCCGGCCCGGCCGAACCCCGGCGGACGCCCGCGCCGGTCCCGCCGGTCCGCGCCGCGCACTTTACTTTTACTTCGGCCTTGGCTGTGCCTGCTTGGGCTTCGCTCCTCGGGAGATCTCCCGTCGATTTGCGTCCCCGTGGCCTAACCGGGCGCTCCGAAGCAAGCGGCAGAGCCCGCCTGGTGCTGCCCTCGGCGGCTGCTCCGGAGCCACAAAGCCGGCCGCGCTGGGACCAAGCTGTCAAACGCCGCGGCCAGGTGGTCCCCGCGCCGAGGGAGGGGGAGGTGAGCCGGGGCCGGACGGAGCGGCCGCGGGCTGTCTTTGTCAGCGAGGGGCTCCTTTAACTTTTCCAGATCCCAAACCTGTGTTTTCTCCTCCTAATGATATATATTAGGAAGCCATTCGCCTCCGTCCTCCCCTCCCCCATCCCCGACCCGCACCGCCCTGCTCCAGAAGCTCCGCTCCGGGATCGCGCGGCCCCAGGTGCGGGGAGCCCGAGTTTCCGAAGCCGTGCCAGGTTCCCTGTCCGCGCCCACTGTGCGGAGCACTTACGTTCCGGGAGAATGCAGGTGTAGATGTTGCTTGACTTCGACTCCGAACTCCGCCCGGGCCGGGAACGGGTTCCGATTGTTCCGGAGCGCCCGGGAGGGCGGTCCGCGCGGACGACACGGCCCGAAGTGTGTGCTCGCAATGGTCATTCGGCAACTTGGCCCGTACGTGAGGACCCGATGCGAGGCAGCGGGTCGCTCGGCTGTTGTGGCCGTTCGGAAGATGGGCGAATGTCTCTGGAAGTTGTAGAATGGCGTGTGCCGCTTACTCATTTCATTGTACGATATTGTCACTCAACTGTCGGCGGTGCAGGGGTGCGCTGGGACGTGAAGGGAGCCAGCCCGTTCCGGAGAGGCTGTTCTCGGCTCTGATGCATTCGTTTATCAACAGGATTATGATCATTGGTGATAAATGTTGACTGAGGCATGCCAGGCTGGGTTGGGGGAACCCTGTAAGCTCTTCACTGAACGTCCCCTTTCTGCCTTGCTATTCCTTTTATGAAAATGATTCAGGGCCTCCGGTTGCCTCCATATTTTATTGCTAGCTCTTACCTGGAGGTGAGAGATATTGAGAAACAAGGACAGGATATGTACGTTATTACATTAACCTTCTTGGGATACAAAGTTAAGAGTTTTTATGCCACTCTTATTGCGATATAATGTCGAGTAAAAAGTGCTACTGTTCCCTGCATGAACTGAAATTTGGAGAAGGAAGATGGAGTTTTAAGTAACTTTAGACTTAGCTACTTTTTTTTTTTTTGTATCTCTAGAAGTAACATAGGACAAACTATCAGGGCTTTACCTGTATTGCTTCCTATTTTCACTGTCTGAAAAAACATTTCTTGATCTTTTACTGAACATCAGTTTGAGATTACTGTATGTTTTAGAGCTTCATTTAAATTCTTCGGTTTGAAAAAGACCAGTCTGTGTTGTCACACCCCTAGCCCCATATGCACGCTAGCGCACGCCATCCCCCTACTTTTGAAATGAACTCAGTTGAACTCAGTTGTATTAGTGCAACTCCCGTGTTCACCAGAAGAAAGATTGATGTAGGGTATTGTGACCTGACTGTTGTGTTTAATTTTTACCTCATTATGAGCGATGAAAAAGGTGGGCTTTTGAGAAGTTAAAAAATTCCTAAAGAATGACAGTATAACCCAACAAAACACCAAAACTCTGGGAAATGTTTAGGACAATGTGTCTTAGAGTTTTTTTCTTTTAGATTTGAAAAGTAGCATAGCATTCTTTATAGGAAAGCAAAGTCTAGTGGCAACTCAGATGGCTCCAAACTTACTAGTAAATTCTTTAAAATCAGTTGTCTTTTGAAGGGAGTGGAATCTCCAGTTGTTTTAGAAACAGGCACATGGAAGGCAAAGATGTTTCCATTGTGTATCTCTACACCCTATTGGAATTCACGGCCTCTGTTGTTGGTTAGTGAAGACCCTGAAAGTGAAACTGATGTGGAACAGATGTAATTTAGGTTTGTAATGTGAAATAATGTGAAATTGCAAACAATTCACAGAAGAGTTGAAAATTAGTATTTGTGGAATGTAATGGAGGTGGAGGTTTCTAAATTGTCGATGTTATTTAGTGGACACTTAGTGGGTTAAGTTAGAGAAGATGCCTTATGACACTGTTTTTAAAAGGTGGATTTGTGCATTTGTCTTTGGATTCAAAACAAAGCAACCATGCACTGTCACTTACATTTTCCTTGTGCTTGAATTTTTCATAATTAGGTAAAATGAGCATTTTCGTGTTTTATAGTTTTAGCTAGCTGTTTTTTTTTAAATCACATTTGAAAAAGCATAGACTACGTAGCTAATGGTTTCACATGAGCCGTAATTACCTTAAAACTATGTTTACTACCTAAAATAAAAAATTTTGAACTGAAGCTATTAATCTTAGAGACAGAGTTTGAAAAGTAGGTATATAAATAGGGATTTCCTGTTGTACAAATGTCAAGTGGACCAGTGAATTGACATTTGTCTCAGAGTTCCCCTGAACTGTAAAGACTTTCTAGTTATTTGGTTGTCTGGACTAGCTCACAATCTCCATCGGAGGCACAGGATTTAGCACTGGCAGAGCAGCTCCTGCTGGAGTATTGCACGTGCTAGAGGGCTAAGTAAATTTCTGTTGATGTTAAGGATACTTTTCCTGAAGCTTTGCTTTTGTTTTCTCTTTCCTTTGAATGTGCGTTCACATAACTAAATTGGGAAGCCACAGAAACATTCCACCATATTTCCTACCAAGTCCTCAAAGTGGTGTAAGAGATGAGGGTGTGGGGTGGTGCAGCAGCAGGTGGTGGGGATAGGATTTCTGAAGCACTGCCCTTGGCCTTTTTTGAGTCAACTACTTATATCCTGAGCCACTTTCTTTTCAGAGTGAAAGTACTTATTAGAGAGCCACCGTGGGCATTATTGGTACGGAAAAATTAGGTACAACCAGCAGTGTCATGCAAGGGATCAGCAGCCAATGGCTGCAAACTTGAAGTAAGTGATAAAAAACTGCTCTTCGTTACAGTACATACAATTTACTAAAAATGGTTTTCAGTTGAGCGGTATCACTATTCATGCTTTTTGAGGTGATGCAAATTTGCAATTTTTATGATGGCAATTCTTAATTTTTATTATTTTTCAAGAGATCAGATAACGTAAGTGGGGACTTTCAATATTTACTGGTCTCTCGCACATGTAGGCACTAAAATAGTTTAATTTAACTGGAAAGATGGTTAGCTTCTCTTTTTCTGTTATGAGGTTCTCTGACCTCATTCACTAGAGTTTACTTGTCCTATTGACTTATTCCTAGGGGTTTCTACTGTTTGAGAGTATGATGTTTTTAGTCATAATTTTATATTGGATTTTCATAATTAATATGCAAACTTGACAAAGATGAATTTCCATGTAAATTTAAAAGTATCCCAGTTTAATTTTTCATTGTGAAAATTGTGATTTATTACATTTTCCTGTTACCTCACTTAATTCTGTGATGATGGCTAGATTTGTAGTAGTTTGCAGGGGGCCAAGCCACATTGCTTTTCCCCCTTCGTCTGTTTTTCAAAAACTGTGTGCTATTTTCTAGGCTGCAGTCTGGTTTCTCTGGGCAGATAGTGGTTTGGTTGTCCAACCCTGCACTTTTTTTTTTTTTGCAGTACTAGGGTTTGAATTCAGGGCCTCTAACTTGCTGGGCAGGCACTCTTACCACTTGAGCCACTTCACCAGCCCTGTTTTGCGTTGTGTATTTTTGAGAATAGGGTCTTTTGAACTATTTGGCTGAGTTGACCCCAACCCTGTATCTTTTAAGTCAATTAAAATTGATGACTGAGGTGCTTTCATGGAACCTTATTGACCTTTCAAAATAAAAATGGTCAGTTTTCTGGTATAAAAAACATTAGATGCTTTTTCTGCATGCTTGCCTAGTGGAGAGGAGGTATGAAATACCCTTGATAGGATGTGAATTAGCTTTTAATCTGTGAGAACTTTGGGCGCTAAACATAATTTTTAGCTGCCATGGAATAAACTCTACTCCCTCCACCCTTTATTTATTTATTTTTTTTGTAGTGCCAGAGATTGAATCCAGGGCCTTTTGTGTACTAGGCAAGCACTCTACTGCTGAGTTACATTCCCGGACTTGGAATAAACTTTCTGATTCATGAGTGTTTCCTTTAAAAATTTTCAGTATTGTTTTGGCCTGTTTTTATCTTTTAATTTCAGCACGCTGATTAATCCCTTCCTCCCCTCTTAAAATTTTCTTTATCATATTTGTGCTACAGTGACTATTTCCAGAACTTCTTGGCAAGAAATGTTGCAAAAGTTATGGAGTGGAATGGGGATGTTTCTTTTTTATGATGGCCCTGCATATAATGTATGCTGGTGGCTATTGTGAAAAGTTTAATAAACCAGTCTTGAATTTAGAATTGGAGAATGTGAGGAATTTCAGAACACAAATTAAGAGAAGTATGAATGACAAACCACTTTTTATAGTCTAATATTTTAGAAAATGCCTCATGTAAATATGAAAATTGTTTCACTTTGCTTCTGCTGTTGTGTGACATCAGGAGTTACGTGATGTGTGGTTTAGATGTGGGATGGTTGATGAAATGGTTTAGGTGTCTCAGGTTTTCTGTTTGCTTCTTAACTCCTTAGGTCTTTCATTTGTTACACAGCATGTAAGTGTTGACTATGTGCTGGGATGTTAACTCTGCAAGAAGATTCACTTTGGCCACAGAAACTGACCTGTTACTATTGTGCCACAAAGATCTGGAGGAAGTCATACTTGAATTAGGCCTGGAAGGATTGGTGAGGTCTAGCTAAGTAGAGTGAGAAGAAAGTGT